AGAAGGTACGTACTGATACATGATTTGATGACAGTACAGTAAATCACCTTATTAATATCATCCCCTCGTCATTACACCCTCTCTCTCAGTAGGCCTAAACAAAGTTTCAATCAGTTAATTGCTATGCTCCCCCTAGGGCTGTTAATACAGTAAAAATCCGCGTGTAAGAACCTACATTTCTGGAAGTCTAGCAAAATAGATTCTTGTATTTTGGGGTAGTTATTGGCAATTTAAGCTTGGTAGATTCTTAATTAGGTTCTTAATTTCTATGAAAGAAATATAATTGTTGATTACCAGAAAAATAAACGAATAAACTGTGTTTAGCCCTTACATTTACAGTATTTTTTTGTAATATAAGTTTGCAATCTCAAAGTCACACTGCTTGGTTAAAACGTTTATCATAATTTAGCTGTGGCCCACATATAAGAACCGCTGCTCGATCTTACTTGTCTGAACGGGTTGTTATCTTTTGTTTATTAAATGGCAAATTTCTGCCAACATGTTCTTAAACCACTAGGTTGTTACACGCCGGTTTTTACTGTATTTCGGGGTTTTAATGGCCTAATAGTGAATGTCGCACTGTTGGAGCAAAATGTAAAGGTTTTTAGTGGCTTTAAAAAAATATCTTAATCATATTATTACTGTCCATGACAGACGAGGATTTGAAAACGGTTTTAACAAGAAATTAAACGCTAGAGGATTTTTTAAAAACTATTCTAGAACTCTCTGAAAAACAAACCGACGACGTTTCCGCGCTGCTTTACGCCATTGTCCAGTCAAGAAAGTAAATATATAAAGAAAAATATGAAACAATAGATGAAATATTTGTGGGTCCTATGCCGTATAATTTAGAAAAAAAAGAACAAAAGAAAACGAAAATGAAAATATATATATTTGTGTAAAAACTCTAAAAAAGAATGACTGTGTCAAGTAAAATGCTTGGCGCCAATGGAGTGTTTCTGCGTGTTTAACGAAGACTTGATGTCCTTAATGAATAGCATTAAACTGTCAAACTTGCTTTTACATTTCAACAAGACTAAAGAGATGTAAATAACTGCTTTGTGCAAACCATGCTACGTCTCGAGATGATTCCCTGCGGCAGAGTAACGATGTTTTTTGATATGT